TAAAGGGCTTTTGCCCACAGCACTGCAGAACTCTGCTCACAGCACTTTTATGCACTCACCACCTTAGAAAAGGTGGGGGTTGAGGTGGATCATGTCAAAGTGGGACATGTACATTCACACATGGGTCATCAGATGACCTACTTCCTCAACTATAACACAGAACTATATGAGCCAAGCCCTAATTTCCACCATTACAGTCTCCTCCTTGGAAACGTTTATGGGTCACCATCTTAAGGTATGACCACACACAGCACAAGGGGTTCACTACTATGCCCATCCATTACGGCAACCTTGTGCCTCATTTTGGAGAGGGACTTCTCCAGGACTATGGACACTTATTGGCTCAACATTAACCTTTAAATAATTTTAACTATTCATTTAACAACTTAGCCATTCATTTCTCCATACACATAATCATCATACATATCTTGCCTCTGTAAAAATTCTTCCTTCAGTTTACTCCTCATTTGTTTCTACTCTTACCATTTGGTACATATACATCAATCTTATCTTCATTCTACACATCCACCACAGCATACTCACTCTCACGATTCCCAAGCATAGTTGTAAAAATGTTTCCCACCACTGGTGGTCAGCAGTCTTTGCAACTCTGTCCAGAATTTTTACAATCTCAGTATTATTGTGTATGACTGCAATATACATTCATTCTACCTTTTCAACATTGGCTTGGATTATTTGACTCCATCATGCAGAATCATTCTTTTTAAAAGTGCTAGGTCCATACCTATATGTGTTGGCAATAATTCAGCATAAGCAGTAAAATTCTCTACAATGGAAAAATTATAAATTGTTGGGACAGACATGTCCACATCACACCCATGAATGTCATCAGTATGATGGCTCATGTTCATCCTGGAGTCAACAAGGGCTCCAAGATCCCTTTCTGCCATCGTGTTAACAAGAAGGGTGTTTCCCAGCCTATCGGTGTGTTGCTGGTTCCTTCTCCCTAGCTGCAGTACCTTACACTTGTCTGCGTTGAATTCCATCCTATTTTCATCCGGCCACCTTTGTAATATGTCTGGATCTAGCTGCATTCTGTCCCTCTCCTCCACCATGCCCACCTCACCTCACAACTTGGTGTCATCAGTGAATTTGAATGGTGTGCATTCCACATCCAGATTACTGATAAAGATGTTAAATTGTACAGGCCCCAGGATCGAGCCTTGGGGGACTCCACTGCCCACACCTCTCCAGGACAAAAATGACCCATTCACCACCACTTTCTGGGTGCAACCATCTAGACAATTTGCCACCCATCTAACTGTGTAGGTATCAGTGCCACAGTCACCAAGTTTTTTTAAGAGAATGTGGTGGGAAACCATGTCATAGGCCTTCCTAAATTCCAGGAAGATGACATTCACCCCAACACCCTCATCCAGGGACTTTGTGACCTGATGATAGAAAGAAACCAGGTTGGTCAGGCATGAACTGCCCTCAGTGAACCCATGTTGGTTGCCCCTGAGCATTAGGTCCCCTCTTGGGCCCTTGCAGATGTGCTCCTTGATAATTTTCTCAAAGGTCTTCCCAAAGGGCTGAGGTAAGGCTGACTGGCCTATAATTGCCAGGGTTCTCCTTTCTCCCCTTCTTGTAAATGGGGACCACATTGGCCCTTTTTCAATCCTCTGATACCTGGCCAGTGCCCCATGAATGCTCATAGAGCCAGGGCAGGGGCCCTACTATGACCCCTGCCAATTCCCTCAGCACCCTCAGGTGAAGAGCAGCTGGACCTACTGATTTTAAACACATCCAGCCCCTCCAAAAGTTCCCTAACTAGGTTGTCTCTGACCCTAGGCATGGCAGTGACTCCTCTGGATCCAAAGAATATAGAGGCAAAGAATTTGTTAAAGAGGTCATCTTTTTTTCTTTTGCTGCAGTCACTAGATTGCCAGACCTATCCTGTAGGGGCCCCACGTTACCAGGTGCCTTCTTACTTCCTATGTGTTTGAAAAATGACTTTCTATTATCCTTAATTCTGATTGCTAGCCTAGCTCCATCTCTGCCTTGGCCTTCCTAACAGCCTCCCTGAAGTCCTGAACAATGGAGGTGTAATGCTCCTTGGTGATAGCCCCTTGCTTCCACTGTTTGCACAACTCCTTTTTTGCCCTCAGGCATCCCTGGATTTCTTTGCTGAGCCATGGGGGCTTCTTAGCATTCCTGCCCCCCTTGGTACACATTGGGACTGACTCCCTTTGAGCGCAGATCATGCAAGACCAGTATCATTTTGTGACTTTTCTAGAGCTCTGATAACCAGTAATTCCTCCAGTTGGTTCATTTTTTGGCCAATTTTTGGGGAGGACTTTTGCGATGTTGACTGCTTGTCTTCCCAATTCAGACAATGAGGTAGTGATAGGTCTATGTAGCTCTCTTAACTTCTGAGCAACTTTAGACAGCTTATTCATCACCACCTCTGTGTTGGCAGTGTTGATAATTCTGAGTCCTGTACCTATACCACTTCCCACGTCTCGGGGCTTTCTGAATGTTCTATCTAGTTCAATGACTTTCTTTACCCAATTTACCCATCCTTCAATTAAAGTAGGGATATTATGAGTCAGGCTGGATAGGCAATATACTAGCTGCGTCTAGTTTTAATTTTGTTTTTTGATTGCCATAGATTGATTCTGTAATCAATTATCTTTCAATACTTGGTTGAATGTAAGATATACCCACATCAAAAATCACCAGGGTTGGTTCTACATTAATCCAAAAGAAATCTTCAAAATTATTGGTTTGCATCAGCCACTACCATCCTGTATGGTTTATATTGACTCCTACAGTCCATTTTCCATAGATCAAACCTGATCAACACTTTTGTATAATTTCTAAACATTTCATCATTAACATAGGTCACCCAACTACTATTAAAATCATGACTGCCATTATCAAGGGTACCTTTTCCAAATCATAGCCAATAACAGTGATCAAATATTTCTTAAACAATGGGTCAACCAAAACTATTGGATATTCATTAATCACTGTATATTTGACATAAATTATATAAGAATAATGATTAATTATTTGCTTTGGTACCATCCAGGTGACACATGATTTAATAGCAGTATTAGTAGACTTGACACTTCTACGTTCTCCTGATATTAACCTAATATCCATTGACACTCTATTGACATATTTTACAGTTCCACAGGTTACAACCAACAGACCCTTTGTAGTGGCTGACCATGCACATACATGTTCTAATTTACAGCGCTTAATGAGCTGTCTATATCATTGTACCGATCCATTTACAGTTTGCCGCCAAGCTTGATAAATAGATATTCCAGATTTGTCATTTCCATTGTCAAATTGTAACATTAACTCTGGTTTGGGTAATTCTAGCTTTGGAATTCCTCCAATACTTAATTTATCATAAAGTCTGCTTATGATCTTTTTCAATGTAATGTCCCATATAATTCTTGACAGCACGATGTCTTTGGTGGTAACTGAGGACAATAATATCACGGCTTTCCATCTTCGTCTTGGAAAGCGGCTGATCAAGACCCTCATGTCCCATACAGACCATAGAATCATCGAGGTCATCATATAACTGGTAATCATGCTCATTCTCATTATTCTTCCTTGCTGATATCTCGCGACAATGGGACCCAATGTTGGAATTACTCTATTTAGAATGCGATAATCTATGGTGCATCTCCATGTGACTCCATCAGCTTTTCTCACTGGCCACACTGGTGCATTACACTTTAATTGTGTCTCCATATGACAGGAGTATCACTACTGGAGCCTTTCTACTGGTGACTCCGCCCTCCTGTTATGGGCCAACCTCCTGCTTACTCACCTGCCACACCTTGATCTTAATTGATTAATTGGTTGATGTAATTAGCAAGAGGCTGCCCACTTTATGCACCCCAGTGCCAGGGGGCGCTATCTGCGGCGCCTTTTCCTTCCCTACACTGCAGCCCAAGCCTTGCAGATGGTACCAATGTGGTTTCAACCTGGGCCCTGCTCTGATTTGGCCCTCTCCTTTACCTCCTTGGGGCTTCTCACTGCCCCCCTTGCTCTGGGGCTTCTCGCTCCTCACGGCCCTCTCTCCGGGCTTCTCACTGCCCCCCTTGCTTGGGGCTTCTCACTGCCCCCTTGCTCTGGGACTGGGGTCAATGCACCCCAAATGCTGCACCTTCTCTGGTGCCAGGGTCCCCACGCTACTGTGGGGCCCCTATGAGGCCTTCTCCAACCCCTAATAGCCTCACCCAGTCCTCCGGTTAAAACGGCGAACACAAAAACACAAAGCCCCTGGGCTATAACATAAAAAGCTAGACCGTCTGGCCAAACAACATTCAATCCCTAACACGAAAACACTCCAACCCCCAGCAGCAACCAGAGGCTGCTCACGCAGTCAGGGTTCTTCCCTCTGTCTGCACTGGCCAAGCTCTGCCTCCCTTGTCCTCCAGAGGGGAACTGCCCTCCTGGCCTCCCGCCTGGGCTTATATGGGCCAGGTCCTGCCTCTTCCTGTCAGCTGGCTCCCCAGTGGTTGTCCTGGCAACCAGCACCTCTTACTCCAGCTGCTCTGGTAACTGGCATCTGGGCCCCCCTCTTCTTGCCACTAGGGGTCTCTCCTGAGCTGTTTTCTGCTCTCAGGCGCAGGGCACCTGAGTGCTCTGCAACACTCCATAATTACTCCCTGTTCTGACAATGCCATGATAGTTTTCTTAATATCTTTTTCAGCTTCATGTGGATATAGATATTGTCATTATGGCACAGGATCAGGACCTGTTATCAATATGTCAGCTAAGACGCATTGAAACTTATGCTTTGCCCATACATTCAGAAATTCCAAACACATTTTCACAAACTCTTCTGGTAGGTCTACAGGTAAACATAGATCTTATTTTGCCTTTAGGACTGTACATCAATGTTTCACTGGAATCTGTGCAATCTTATTTCCTTCTGTTTCAGGTGGTGAGGTCTTCTGGTCTGGTACACGCATGGTCCACAGACAATGATTTGGATAGTCAATTATTACCCTAAATTCTCCAAGGATTCCACTGCCAATTATTCCTATCCCAGACAATTTGGCAAGACCAAATGAAGCCCTTCCTGATTTATTTCCAATCCAAAATTTCTTTACTTTGGAGAATCCAATTTGGGAATGTGCTCCATTGAATCCCTCAAGGGTTTTCCATGTCCTTGGTATCCAGTTTTGGAACAGTACAGTTTCATCTGAAAAAAGTGAAAATGTGACACCAGTATCAATCAACATTGTGGCTTCGTGCCTCAGCATTTTCTTCCCATGCAGGGATATTGCCTGTATGCTGGGTCAACCCAACTCATCAATCTTCATATTTACCAATTTCACCAAATTTAGAGAGAAATCCAAATGAGCCAAACATCTGGTTCTGGAGTGGTGGTCAGAAAATGCTGGGCTGTCCTAATCTGATAGAATTTTGCAAGTGGCAACCAGGGGCAGAGGGGAGCCCTTGTGGTAAGATTTGCCAGATCCTTGCTCGCATTCCACCTTAGCAAGGACCTCATGCAACCTTGTGGTACTTGCACAATCAATCATATCAAAGTCATGATACTTCAATGCTTCCTTAAATAGGAGCCATCTTAAGGTCAGCACTGGAGTCCCCTGGGCATTGAAGCTCCTTCAGGAATTATGACTGTCCCTATTGGCATAATCTGACTCTTTACCAGAGCTGAACTGGTGGTGATCCTTTTTTTCCTCTTTGAAGGTCACTTTGGAGTTCTTGGAAGGTTTCTTTCTGTATTCATTGCCATCATCATATCTGTTACATTCTTGGTATTTAGGTTGTCTTTGGGGACTATTCTTCATAGTTTCATAGTTGGTAGGGTTGGAAGACCCCAGGCAGATCATCAAGTCTGACCCCATGCCATGGGCAGGAAAGAATTCTGGAGTCAAATGACCCCAGCTAGGTTATGTAGCCTCCTTTTGAAGAACCCCAGGGTAAGAGCGAGCACCGCTTCCCTTGGAAGTTGGTGCCAGATCCTAGGCACCCTGACTGAAGTAGTGCCTCCTGATGTCTAGCCTAAATCTACTCTCGGTCAACTTATGGCCATTATTCCTTAAATCTAGCTCCAATTTCCACCATTACAGTGCTTTTCCCTCCTGGGAGGGCTGGAAGGCCAGGCCCCAGTGGCAGCAAGGACCACTGGTTCTCACTGGGGAGCCAGCATTTTATTTTTATTAAGCTACCTTTTATTTTTTTTTGGTTGATTTCCTGGGCAATCATGGAAAATACCATTTTTCATAAAGATCACTTTTTTTTGCAGTTTCTGCAAAAATTGCAAAACCATGTATTAAGTAGATCCCTAGTTATAGTTGATGATATTCTAGCGATCTGGATGTGAGTCACTGACTCCTTGACATTATAATGTTTAATTTACATTGCAGTAGTCATGTCAATGCGGTCAATAGACTAGGAGTCTCAATCAATGTCACCACTAGTGTTCACTACAAGAGCTGTACTAGCCCCATATGGCTCTGAAAGCCCTAATACATTATTTTTCATAGTTAAGAGATATGTTTTCCATCTGAGCTTCTAATTCCTTACATCTGAAAACTAAAGGAAGTATTAAGAAAGAGACAGGTGGATCGGGCCCCAAATGAACACACTGAGGAACAGGCTGATCTTAGAACCTAAGTCTGCTCATCCCTGATAGTATCACAGTACTGTAGTAAATCTGGTGAGCTTTCAGAGGAAATGGAATGGGGTTATTTCTACTACCACCACCAGTATTATTCCTTTGTCCTCCTCCTTTCTAATATTTTTATATAGAAGGTACGTGTTTTCATACTTTTTTTCTCATCCATCCTAGCTCTTTTCCTGGGTCTTTCCCTTGTAATTTATGATAAGAAAAATTGATTTTTTTTCCCCCCTGCCTGGAGTTCTTTTTGCTTCTTGTACCTTCTTGCCCTCACACCATTTCAAATTCTCACAGGCTTTTTGACCATTTCTACCACATCTTTGTCCTATGCACTTCAGCTAATTATAGAAATATAGGAATTGTCAATTATATATACAAGTAGGTATATATAGCACAGTCCTAAAAAGAATTATAAGAAATGAAAATGCCAGTTTTAATGGAACATGTTTATTTTCAGATAACACCATATGTTACTGTTACAAGTCTGAAGGCATTATAAACTGGCTTATGAAGTAGTATATATTTTTATCATTTCTTTTTGAAGACAATCCTCGTTCACTATTCAAGTTAACAAAATGAAATATTTATGATGGCTCACTAAAATAATTGCTCTTTCCTACATAGTGCTACCTTCTTACAAAAATTAGAAAGGCTTGTTTGGAAATGGAAAAGTATCTGCAGCATGTTTAAGAAGTCAAATATTCAAATCACTGAGTGTGTCTAGATGTGCCCCTGACTGCACATTTGGTACCATGCAGTCATTTAGTACTTGCTTTACTGCACAGTCCCAGCAGCACACAGTTATTTTTAGGTGCTATGTCACTGTAGCAATGAGCTACAGCTATCACAGCTATGTAGCTCATTGCTACAGCAATGTAGCATCAACATCATAATTTGTGCCTGCCCATGCTATGTCATTGTAGCAATGAACTACGTACAGTTTTGTGTAGGCATACCCACTGTCAACCAGTCTCAGCAACTGCACTTATAAATCTGATCCTGTAAATTCCTATCTCTTTCAATATTCCCGTCCCAGACAAACGCTGTCATTGAAGTTGAAGGTTACTCACATACATAAGATTTTATAGGCTTGTCCCAAGTTTCAAATAAGAAGTATTTACTTTAGAATCTTCCCTTTTAAAAACAGAGATATGATTTTTAAAGATAGCTGCTAAAATTTTTGGCTGAAATGTTGTTTAAAAGAAATTTAGCACCTTTAGTTTCTGAATCTGCACAGCATTTTGCACATATACTCACCTTTTTATTCCAATTGTCTTCTTAAGTGAGATAGTCACTCAAAAGTGGGATCAATGACTCTGATCAATACCCTGTCCAACCTTCCGTGAAGTGATATATCATTGTCTACTAGCTCTCAGCTAACTTGCAAAGGGATATAATTTACTGGTGTTGTAGTACTGCTCAGAGCTCTAATCAGACTTGGGGCCCTATTGTGCCATGCAAACACAAAACAAATAGCCTTGAAGAATTTGCAATCTAAGGTGCAGAACGCATCATAGAAAGGGAAGGACTCAGTGGGGTAACAGTTTGGAGAACTTTTTGAGAAAGCATTATATAATCATAAGCAGTGACCATTAAGGACCTTCTTTTTTTTCAAAAGAATGCTATTTAGCACCTAAACAAAGAGCCACAGTTTCAAGCAACCCCATGTTGGGTGTTCAAATTGGTTTGAAAATCTGTCCTTAGTATCACCAGAAAAGGTGGTAGGTACCAAGAACTCTTGAGAACCTGGGTCTTACTTAGGGGTCTACAGTGTCCCTGGAGTAGCTTCAAGGAACTATTCTTAGACAATAAACCTTTTTTTAAAAAAAACTTGAATTCAAATCTGAATGTAAGTGAGTGTCCTAAATCAAGTCAGAAAGACAGCACATTTTGGCAGAGCCTTCCCCCACTTTGTTTTTCTCACCTGCCGTGACTTTGATGGGACTTAAAGTTAGTACTCACCAGTGGGTGGCCTCTGATTTTTAACTAACACCCAAAGTGACATTCGCTCTTTCCTTATTCCACTTCAGTTGGGGAAGCCAGCAAACTACCTCCGTAGGGGTAACACCCTTATGTATTGAAACAAGCTTCTGGGAAGGCTGAGGTTCTTACCCAGTACTCGGTGTTTCCTTCCTCGCCCCTCTGCGCACGGTCTCTCTCTCTCTCTCTCTCTCTCTCAAAAGTGGTGATAAAAAGTTTTCTAATTCACTACTTCTCTGCACCTGGAGAGATCCAGCTTCCAGCCTGGTCAGGTAATGTTTTCAGTCCACAAACGTTCATTCCTGATGTCTAGAAATAAAGTCTCTAACTAAGCAGGAGTACCTGGTCCTGCAGAGTTTCCAGTGAGGTTCATTCCCAGTGTAACAGGCTGCCTGGCTTTTGTTTTCCTTCAGGCATGCTGCCTTCGTCACTCCTGTGCCTCCACATGGAAAACAGGCTCCATTGCTGCAACTGTCTCTTGGCTCTGGCTTCTCTTCCCTTGTGGGGAAATTTCTAATCAAGTCTAGCTCCTCTTATGGGGCTCATTAATTGACACTTTACCACCTGTGCCCAGTCTCCAATGCCGTGAATGCTCCCAGCACCAGCGAAATGACATAATTTTGCTGGCTAGTCCCACAACATCTGCTAAGTTTCTCTTTACTGTCTTCACTCTTCCATAACAGGGCCACCAGCTCCCTGTTACACTGAGGAACAAGAAATCATCCACAAACTGGATTGTATTAAGTATGGTGTCAGCATAGACTCATTACCTGGGTTCACTTTTATGACACCTTTCATATTTTTATGTCCCTTGTTGATTTGTTAGGGTGACAATCAATCGAATTATTGGGGAGCATTGAATCTGCAGCTGAATACAAAGGCTTTTTCCTGTGTCTCAGCAAAGCTGCTGGTCACAAGGCAGAATGATGTATGAAAATAACCTTGAAAATGCTGAGGCAAGCAGTTTTCTAAGCAAAATTGTAGTGTTAAAGCCCATTGTGTAAGAAGAACAAGATACAGCCCACCAGCTATCATCAGGAGATAAAGCAGAAGCAACACCTTGGAGATGGTGCTGAAATCAGCAAAGAACAAGAAAGAACCAGCAAGTGACTGAGAGTACCCAAGTTCATGGCCTTACACATGCACTCTTAGCAGAGTCAAATAGAGTGACCATACATCCCAGTTTGGCCTAGCCAGTGCCAGATTGCATAGGCCATCCTGGAATCCTGGCCGGTTGGCTAAAATTGAAGCAGGAGTCCTGGATTGGTGGCGCAATGCTGCCTGCATGTTCCTAGCCTGGCTCCTCCTAAGCAGTGGCTGGAGGCAGGGGGGACAGGATGGGCTGACCCTGCGTAGGGTGGGGATCAGCTGGGGTAGGTTGGGCCATGAGAGAGGGCCATTGCCAGGGCTTGGGCACCTATATGGGGCAAGCCAGGATGGCTGTCTGCTGCCAGCAGCCTTGTGCCCTTCTGCTGTGGATGCTGCTAGGCCCAGGCTGCATGTTGCAGTCCTGGGCAGCTGTCAGTGACAGTGGGGAATGGTACCTGTGCAGTTTTGCCCAGGCTTTGCCAGCCCACACTGTATGGCCACATGGTCCTCCACACCATTGCTGACAGCTGCCCAGGATCACCACCCACAGCTCAGGCCCTAACAGTGACTGCAGCAGCAGGGCACAAGGCTGCTGGGAGTGAGTAGCCATCCTGCATCACCCTGCACAACTGCTCAAGCCCCAGCTCCATCCCCAGGCTCTGTTCATGGGGGATTGCCCTGGTCTGCCCTGCCATCAGGAAAGCTTGCGCCTCTCTAAATGAGTTAGTTGCTAAGGTTTCACCTTCATTCTTTTATTTTTAACCTGAAAGTGTTTGATTCTTTTTTACAAAAGCAACACCAATGCATCCTATGCTACCATCAGAGACACTATTATGACTTGAAACTACATTGAAACATTCAATAGATTTCTAACCACTTACTTGAAGAGCTTCATTTCTTAAATTTATGTCTAACTACAATACTCATTCATAGAAGATCACCCACAGGAATTCTGAAGATATTCCTGGATTTTAGTTGCATAGTGTACCATAAACCCATATTTTTGAACTTTTGGGGATCTAGTACTGAAAACAGTGCAACCAAAAATAAAATAATCCAACTAGGATGTGCTGTTCCCATAGGCTAGGAACAGACATT